CGCCCACATTGAAGATATATCCTGTTTTCCTCTACCCTCCTAATGTTGGGATGTCATCTTTGCATCTTAAATACTTCTATTGTATCACTCCCTGTGTTGATGGAGGAAGAAAGAATTCAAAGTTATATAAATGGTTGACCCAGCGCAGAAGAGGCAAATATTTCATTCGTTTGGAAGATTACCCAGAACTCAGAAAGATCCTGGGAAGTAACAGGATGTACATGTCTCCTCCTACTTCAGCAGTTGCAACTGCAGTATCCTCACAACCTATGCCTCCTGACAAGCTACATGTTCTGACCTTGGCATCTGTTAACAATTCTGAGGGAATATGGATCTGATTGGGGAGCTGGAAGATGGCATTACATGACTGTGCTGCCAGGGGCAGTGGAGAAAGGATTAGAAAAGTCACAAGGGTATAATCCCCTTCAGATCCAGCCAAGAAAGAAAGGGAAATTTTCTTCCCTCATAATATCTGCACTTGGATGGAAGAAATGAACATTCTACACTCCTAAGCATGGAAGAGACAAGGAATGAGTAACACCCGGGGGTGGGGGGGGAGAGAATACAGTGAAAAAGGAAGGCAGAGACAACGTCTTTAAGCTTTTTGAGTCTGTTAGGAATGCAGAGTGGAAAGAGATTCTAATAGTTGTATCTGGTACAAATCCTTGATAGTTCTATCTCTAATTTAAAAAATAAGTTAAAGACTTTTGTATAATCTCTGAAGACAGAGAGATATATGGTCCCTTTGGAACAGGTCTGATAAATTGCTTATGTCTTCTCTGCTTTTAAAACATTAGTTGCTTTTGTGAGTAGTGATTCTGCAATATAATGTTGTAACTATGCAACTATTTTTATTTGGATGGATGGATGGATAGAAGCACAAAAGGCCATAATTGCATAGTGGTATATATTCTAGACACACAGGCAATCACAGTTACTTCTCTTTATATACTGTATATATACTGTGTGTTGGACTGGATGCTAAAAACACCTGCATATTCCTGCTATTTATGTACACAGTACTCCTCTTTTTCCACCACCTCTCCCAATTGTATTTTTATCTCTCTCAAGAAGTGAATACGTAGACTTCATCTGTAAATGAAAAGTAAAGCAATTAGCAAGTCAGATGTGTTATGATTATATGCAGATCATTTAAGTTGAACTTGACTCCTCACAGTTCAGGAATCATCTTCCATAACTAGCTACTGGGATGTTTTTCAAGTTTTCAATCTTGCCTACAGTCATGTATTCCCTGATAATCTTCCATCTAAATATACAGTAATCTCAATCCTCTTCATTTTCAATCCCGGAAAGGGTAGCCAAGTACTACCATCTGCTGAGATTCTTCTAATCTCCAGCCCCAGAGAGCCACTTTTTAATTTAATATCAATTTCTTAACAGGTGCTATGCTCTGGGCACCGTTGATGTCAATCCCTTTTGCAGCTGCAGACAGCATTTATATCATTCAGCTCCAGGACAATTTCAGCTCATAATGAATAGAAAATGTTTTCATATTAGCATTCCCACCACAGGTTGATAGAAATAAGGGTTAGGCTGGACAATTTGCTAAGCTTTCGGTCTTTCAAAAATTGTAAAAGTTTACTTTTCCTAGAAAGTTTTACAAGTGAAGGTTATGTGGTTGCTCTCCTAATTTGCTTGATCCCTTGACATTTATACAAAACCTCCTGAAAAACCTAAATCATTGTTCTTTTATCATGTTTAAAATACAGTAGTTTTTATAATTACATTGTCCATTCCATTGAACTGTACTGTTAACATAGAGCAGTCAGATGTATCAATATGACATGATTGGAAAAATGACCACAAATTTGTGAATTAATATTTTTTCCAGTACTGGAGGAATGTACTAGAGATTCAGCTTAGAGCTCTGACAAATTATTAAATTTTGGAAGATGCAACTTTATAATGTTTTGCGACATGGTACAGATAAAATTAACATTTTTTTAAGTGGCAATATAAAATAACCTCTCAGTTCAAAGTAATTATCTAAGAACATTTCACTTTGTTATCTTAGTTTATGATAGGTAGGTTTTTCAGGTATAATTTATTAAATATTGAAAACATGAATAAAAAATAAGCAAGACAAAAAGAGACAAAAAGCAACATAAAAGTGCAAAAAAAGAAGAGAAAGTATGTAATTTTGAAGCATGACCTTTACATCTTTAAACATTAAGAATTTTTTTTTGCCACAGCTGTATTTATAGAAGTGATGACCTGAAATCAAAAAAGAACCAGGATGGAACAGATCAGATCATAAGTCAGAGAGCCTTTGAATTTTTCACATTGCCAACATAAAAAATTGGCAACCATCCTTTTAAAAATGTACTTTTGGAAGTCTTGAAGTCATGGAACAAGATTTTCTGATGAATTAACTTTATCCTTCAGTTATTAGTTCATTCTAATTCTATCTGTATCCAACCTCTAGGAATATCAATAATATCAAAATATTTCTGGCAACATCACAATAGCTGTTTTGAATTCAGAACAGAGCATTTTAAATTCAAAGTGGAGTATTTTGAGATTTTCAAATTTAAAATATGTTGTACACCAATATTTCCTTTTTTCCTCTCTATAATACCACAAATATGTACACCTAATTACATTTATTTGTTCTTAGACTCTGAAAATCCTTAAAGAAGGATTATGTTAGGCTGGCTTCCTTTTGCCTAGAGCAAAAAATTGTCCCTTTTATTGACCAAGTTAAGACCCAGTGCTAAAAACCTGGTTATTGAAGTAGGTGAGAAAAAACTGAGATATATAAATAAAACTTCATAGAAAAGTATTTTCAACATGTTGCAGCCATTGTGTGTATGTATTTGTTTTGTTTTTGTTTTACGAATGAAGACAAGTATACGTGTCCCAGGATAATGTTTCAGGATCCAATCCGGGTTGGTCACAGGTTTAGTCTTCCAAACTTTCGGACCTGTGCTGGAGCCCATCGACAGGGAACTTCTTTCTAGCAGAGTTGTGCTTTGGGCTATTCTCTGTGGTATTTATATGATGTTTGATGGTGTGTGGCTTTTTAGTTGTTGATTGGGGTGTTGATGTCCAGCTATTAAGTCGTTCGTATTGTTTTTGTTTTGTTTGTTTTCTCCTTTTTCAGGTTATGTATTTGTTTCATGTTATTCTAGTTGGGAGAAGGATTTTTAGGTGTAGTATTGTCTTTTTAGTCAGGACTAAATTCCAGCAAGTTGATAATCAGCCCCAAAATCCCAAGTCTTCATTATTTTCAGTTTTGATGGTTGATTCATTCATACCATATTTGCATTATTCAAAATCATATCTATGCAATGTTTGTTTTTGTTATTTGAGGTATCAGAAGACTTAGCCATTTATATGTAATTAAAATTGAAAGAAAGAAATGGAGAAAGCACAGAAATGCTTTTTGGGCTGCTTTGTAATAATTTTTAGCTCTTTATAAGTTTCATGTTAGAATGGATCTGTTTCACTCTCCAGCCTAACCCAGTATTAAAAAAAACAATTAAATTACCCATCTTTCTTCCAAGGCTTTAAATACATATGAAAAGCACAGAATTATTGCTAGGGATGAAACCATTTTATTCGATGTTTAAAGAGAATGGAAGTGACATATTTCTGGCAATTAATAGCATGTAGCCTAATGCAGATGCATTTGCATTGCCTGGCATATTCTAGGTCTGTGACTTCAGTGTTTATATGCTGTATTATATGTGTATGTGTAATAATAATAATAATAATAATAATAATAATAATAATAATAATAATAATAATAATAATACAAGTTGCAAGGGACCTTGGAGGTCATCTAGTCCAACCCCCTGCTCAGGCAGGAAACCCTATACCAGTGGTGGCGAACCTATGGCACGGGTGCCAGAGGCGGCACTCAGAGCCCTCTCTGTGGGCACGTGCGCCGTCACCCCAGTCCTAGGCCTTCAGCTGGGTTTTATAAAACCTTTTCGCTTTAGGCCTCCCCCGCCGTGTAAAAAAAAAAAAAAAGGTTCAATCAGTCAATTTCAACTTTTCACGGGAAAAAAAAGATCTTGCAAAGTTGGAATTGATTGATTGAACTTTTTAGTCCCACCCAGTCTGCCGTTACCACGGCAGCCACGCCCACCCAATGGGCCACGCCCACCTGGCACCCGACTATACATAAGTGGGTTTTGGGTTGCAGTTTGGGCACTCGGTCTCTAAATGGTTCATCATCACTGCCCTATACCATTTCAGACAAATGGTTTTCCAATCTCTTCTTAAAAACTTCCAGTGTTGGAGCATTCACAACTTCTGGAGGCAGGTTCTTCTACTGATTAATTGTTCTAATTGTCAGGAAATTTCTCCCTAGTTCTAGTTAGCTTATATGTAGGCTAATCAATAATAAATAGAAGTTAAATCCACTATATATCCATATACGTTTAGTTGACTACACCTCCATAGCTTACCAAAGCTCTTAAATTGAGCAATTTATTTCATTTCAGCGCTTTCATGCTTATGGGTGGCATGTAGGTAACATATAATGCTCATTATTGCAATGAGCTAATGGTTTAAAAAATAGAACTATATTATACAGTCCTGTTACTTTTCATTGACTTAAGGCCCCAGTACAGTTTTTGAGAAATCAAGCACAAGCAAAAATGGCATAATTGTAGTTAGTAACGTAATTGGATTGATTTCTAAAGATTCAAGTCAGATGTTGCTGGCTTATTTAGAGTATTGAACATTCATATTTATATTATGTAACATTTTGGAGTAGTGGATCTATGAAGCAGTGAAACTGAAAAGCTTTGTGTGCTTATGGTTAATCCTTTCATTTGAACTTTTGCTAGAGCTCTACCTAAAACTATTAGAGCAAGAGAGCTGGATATGTGACATGTGGAAAGAAGCCACATTCAAGCATTCCAAAGCGTTGCTTCTATGTTTCCTTGTTCCATACTGCTTACACGTAAACGAAATCAAACAACATACTGTGCTTACATTTCTGTTGGTGTTTTTAATTGTTGTTGTAGGAACAAATCACAGAAATGATCCAGAAAGTTTAATCCTTTTGTGATGGAGTTGAAAGTCTGGGTAGATGGAGTCCAGCGGGTTGTATGCGGCGTTTCAGATCAGACAACGTGTCAGGAAGTTGTCATAGCACTGGCACGGGCCATTGGTAAGTAATTTTTATATTCATGATGCCTAGAAGGACTTATGCAGTCCAGTCCTGAGCATGTTTACTTAGAAACATCTATCACTGAGGGGATTTACTTCCAAGGTAAGTGTACATAGAATTGCAGATTAATCTCCTGTCCAAAATTCTTTTTTAAAAACTGATTAGCAAAATAGTGCTGTATTCATGTGATATCCAAGAGGAAATTGTTTATGTAAACAATTGGCAGTTTCACAAATACAACAACTTGAATGATCAGAGGTTTTTTCACAATGTCTGTCAACATTTCTTTCTTCTAAAGTAGCGGCTCCCAACTTTTTCTATACCCCGCACCTCTAGAGTGCTTCTGATACATTCTCGCACCCCTTACAAAAATTCAAAATAACAGCAACGAATTATGCATATTCACTATAATTTTGAAAACCCAAGTTTTCGCACCCACTGGAATATCATCTCACAACCCCAGGGGGTGAGAGCATCCCCAGTTGGGAACCGCTGTTCTAAAGCAACATTTTTCAACTTTGGCAAATTTAAGACACGAATTCCTGCTCCCACAATTATAATGGTGGAATTCTGGGAGTTGAAGTCCACACATCTTAATGTTGCCAAAGTTGAAAAACACTGTTCAAAATTATTATTGCCGAGCTTTGCAAAATTATTTTAAATATTCTTTTCTGCTGGTATAGTAATTGTTCATCTGCTCCATCTTTAACAGATTTTACTAATAAAGGTTTGTTTTCACAAACTAAGAATATCCTTTTATGCTGTGAAATCTTTTTTCTCCTCCCTTACATTGCACCTTCCTTACATTGCTGCACTTGTGTGACCATATGGGAAAAGTAGTGAACTTGGCAGCAGGAAAAAAAATCAAAGGGGAAAACATTATGTTGGCTTACAAGATAGTCTCTAGATTGGAATTCTGCTTTGCATTGTACGGGGTGATCATGCCAGGTCTAGGGTAAAACTGGACTTTGGTTGTGTTCATAACATGCTGGCCAAAATATGCCAGAACTGACTAGTACTGTTCATAATATAAGCATGGAACACTGCCCGTGGTATGGCTATAACAAAAGCTGGTCACCTATCTTACTAAAAAGCATTATATCAAAACCAAGAAAACTGGTCAGTATGCAATGACTGATATAGAGATGATTACAACTTGGAATGTGAAAGAAATTTAAGATAAAAAAACCTGAATCCACAAATTTTTTTTTTTTAAAAAATGAAATTAAAAAAGGATGGAATAGATCTGCATAACAGTATTCTGATCTTTTGGAATGGAATTGATGAATAAATGCATGTAAGTAAGAATGTAAATTTAATTATGAACGAAAGGGCAAAATTCAGTATCAAAGTACAATATATATGACTTATCTAGATTGGTTTGGGTAAATATACAGGTAGGAATTCATGGGATGGTAATAGTTTTTATGTTACGTTACAAATTAAAGTTGGGGAATGCAACATTTTGAATGAATGCCGTTGAGGTAGGGTGGGGTGGATTTTTTTTTGTTAAATGGCATGAATGGAAGCTTGGAAATGAGAGAAGAGTACAAGGGGGGGGGGGAAAGTGACCAAGAATGAATGGGAATGATTATGAATAACTGTTTGAAAGAAGGGCTGTTTGTTTTAAACACATGATTTAAACATATGTCCTTTCATGTATTCATACGGTAAAGGAAAAAATCTTGAAGTAAGATGGAATTGGTTGATTATAATGAAATGTTGAGAGAAGGTGATGAGAGGCTGTTGAATTTGGGACAGACTGCTATTCATACAGTCAGAAGAAGATAGGGGGAGGGGAATGGGCATAAAAGGAAAGGAAACTTGAGTGCAAATACTGTTATAGAATGACTACAGAAAGGGGGAAAAAAGGACTCTATTAAGGAAAGTATAGATTAAATGTTGAGTGGAAGTACAGGTGAACTTCTTGTTTGCCGACAGTTCCAACTTACGATAGCACTGAGCAAATAGTAGTTATGACCGGAATCTTGTACTTATGGACAGCACAGCATCCCCACAGTCACATCATCGTGATTTGCAACATTCCCTGCTAGCTTCTCAGAAGCAAAGTCAATGGGGAAGCTGGCAGGAAGTTGAAAGTTGGAGTCATTTGAGGTCCTCGCTTAATGACTTATGTGACCCTTGTTTAATGATGTCAGCTGCCACAACTGCTGTCACTAAGCAGCATCATTAGATGATTTTTCAACTTACAACCATGTCACTTAACAGTGAAGTTTCTAGTCCCAATTAACTTTGTTAAACCAGGACTACCTGTAATAAAGAGGCACGTAGAAGCTGCTTGGAGAGAGTGAAGAGAATCAAATTACAGAATCCAGTATAAAAAGTTAATTCCAAGAAGGAGTATGGAAAAGACAGAGTGGAATGAAGTAAAAAAAAAACCTGTGGATGATAAAAAATCTACATAAGAGAACAGTTGCTGCTATAAATTAGCATGAGAGAAAGATACTGGATTATAGGTATGTAGAGGAAAGTGAAGAGATAGGAAAGAGCATATAGTCAGCAAAGAAAGGGTAAGATTACATAGAGAACTCCATGAAAAAATAATGAAAAAGATGAAAATGTTGAAAATTTGTAAAGTTGCAGTGTGGATGGTGTAAGTGGAGAAATGTTAAAATATGAATGTGATATGCTTGTAGAGTGGCTGTGCGATTTGATTAATATTTTGAAACCTATATTTGCCTTAACGATTGCTAGAATGCTTTTATTGTCCCCCTGTACAAAGAGAAGGTAGGAAGAAAAAATGCAAAAATTACAGAAGGATTAGTGTGTTAAGCATGCTTGGGAAAGTGCTTGGCAGAATTCTGACCAAAAGAATATATGAAATTGACAATGAGCAAAATTTGAGAAGGGCTGTATGGCTATATCCCATGCAATAACAGATTTTGCTCTTTGGCAGGTCATCAAGAAAAGCATGAGTGTGAGAGAGGAAGTTTATTGCAAGTTTGTTGATATAATGAAAGCGTACAATAAAATGAATGTTTTGCATGAATATGGAATCAAAGGTTGATTGTTTGGTACATTAAGAGCCGTGTATGATGAAAACAAAGCACACATAAAAAATAAATGGAAAACTCCCTGAATGGTTCAACTCTGAGCAGGGTAAGACAAGTGGGTATAATGTCCCTTGGTTGTTTAATGCAGAGCTTCCCAACCTTTTGGGCACCAAGGACCGGTTCTGTGGAGAGAGGTTTTTCTGTGGACCGGAGGGGCCGTGGTTACATGTACTGTCTGCATCCCGCGGATGGGGCTTTGCTTGTTTGCATGGCCCAGTTTCTGGCATGCCGTGGCCTGGTGCCGGTCCACGGACCGGGGGTTGGGGCCCCCTGGTTTAATGCATTTTTGCATCATTGTTTAAGGAATGCTTGTCTGCCCAGAGTCGCTGGATACGATATGGGTGACAAATTTATAAATAAATGCTTGTGCAACGTTAGAAGTGTGATCAGGGATGTGAATGAGCATGTATTCTTGTATGCCATAGAGTTGACTGAGAATCCAACTAATTTGCAGCAAATATTAGAAAATTATATGATGGAACAAGGAGCATATATCTGAAAATTAGTGTAACAAAGACCAAGTTAATTATTTTTCACAATTGGAGTGAACAATTGGAAGTGATACATGAATGATGAAAAATAGAGCAAGTATCCAAATTTGTTACTTGGCAGGATGTTTATTAAATATGGAAAAAAATAAGACTTGAAAGTATGATAGAAACATTTTGGATAATATGTGGTATGTTTGCTAAATGAGCAAAAATGTTTCAGATGAGAGCATGCCCATTTTGTTATAGTGACCGTGTAGAGCACAGGTGAAAGTAATGCACTTAGTGTGACATTTTTCCAAAGTGCTTTTGTAATACTAATATATGAGCTATCAACATAGATGAAGGTCTCTGTGAAAGTCATGCTTAATTTGAAGAAATGCTGCTGCATGAATGCATAAGCCATTTCTCAAATTCTCACTTCCCAAATCACAACTGTTTTTAAAACTGGTACCTCCAGTTAAAAAAACCCACTAAATCTTAGTTCTGTGTGGAGGTATCTTATTAGGTATATAGACTCAAATAACAAAGAAAAATAGAAGACCATTGGCAATTCTTCTTATTACTTAACTATTTACAGGCCTGTCCATGCTTCTTCTGGAATCAGTTGCCCCATTCTCCATGCCCCATTCTTCAAAGTTTTTTGCCTTCAGGGGGTAATGGGTGTGGGCTGGCAAGGAAAATTACTGTGGAATGTGAGCCTGATACAGCTGGATAAGAGAAAGGAAATTTACTGGTGTTTTTGTAGCAAAGGAATCTTTTCCTCATAATCTCTCTTGTTTTCTCAGGTCAAACAGGTCGCTATGTTCTCATCCAAAGGCTACGTGAGAAGGAGAGACAGCTTCTCCCACATGAATGTCCTGTAGAGTCTCTATCCAAATGTGGCCAGTATGCCCAGGATGTGCAATTTATATTGCAACGTACTGGTCCCAGCCTCATAGAGAGGCCCTCTTCAGACAGTGCCCCCCAGATGCCTGAGAGGACGTTTGTCAGGGCTAGCTTGCCTATTAAACCTAGACCACTCAGTACAGAAGTACCTAGAACCAGGCCACCCAAAAAATCTTTAACCTTCAACTTGGGTCCTGTGAGTTCAAGTGATGCCTGTGCTAAAAACAAACTGAGGCAGCCCAAAAAGGATCCGATGTGTGTTAGAGATGGAGCCAGAGGGGGGTTACTTTCCAAAGAGGAGCTATTCAAGACCGTCTTACACCAACAGGAGCATCTCTGCACGCTGGAGATGCAAGGTGATGCCTTGGAAATGGACATCAGGCATTGGGAATGCAGCCAGGGCTCTTATCAGGAGGATGAGATTTTGCAGCTGGAGCAGCTGATCCACCAAAATGAGAGCCAGCTGAGTGAGGAAGAATTTTGGCAGAATGAGCTACAGTCAGAAAAAGAGCACGAAAGGGAGCGGCGTGAGAAAGTGCACAGCCTGAGGGCCACAATGGAGGAGTATACAAAAAAAATCCATGAGCTTATGGTAAAAACAGAGACCTTGGAAAGAGAAATCCAGTGGGAAATCGCTGAGAGAGCCAAGAGGACCAAGGAAACTTCAACCGTGAATCGTACTGAGCTAGAGGAGATGGCAGCTAAAATAAAAAGAGACCTGGAAGCCAAGTCCAAGCAAAGTGCGCAGCTTGAAAGCAGTCTGGATACGGTTGGGAGGGCCTTGGAGGAAGTAGAGCACAGTCTGCAGGTTTGTGCTTAGAGCTAATGATCCTTTTCTTAGCAAGCCATGCATGAGTCCAAAGGATTGTCCTTCACCATGTGCGTTCATGACATGCTTCTCTGATTTTGCTTGCTTCTAATGACTGTTCGATGGCAGATATTCCACACTGCATCTCTGCTACATCTGTTTTCTCCATGACGGTGCTTAGAAGCAGAATTAGATGCCTATGTATATCTCTTTGGGAACCACCTTCAAATTATGTTCAAGTATGAGATAATGTGATCCAAACAAAATCATTGCAAATCAACATAATAACCAAACTGCATTTTTAATTTAAGCTGGATATTAATTTCCTCTCCCTCCACCTTATGCATATAGTCTATGGCTTCATGAAGCTATCCTATGATTAAAAGTTGCGTGACTGTTAAAGCAATTCTGGCTACTTTCATGCCCTGTGAGATTTGAGAAGAGGGGGATGGCTAGTTTTCATTAATTGCATGTGGTAAGCTAATTTTGCATTCCCTTGTTCAAATGTGGAGACACTACAGTGCCCAGTATTTCCAACCAGCACATTCATTGTCTATACTGGCTAGAAATTCTGTAAATTACATAAACCTCTTCTCCTCACAGGTCTTTGTCTTGAAAGATCAACTTGCTTTTCATTTTATGGTATAATGGGACATATAAGAATATAATACCTGAAGTATGGAAGGCCGGCCAGGCATAAACTAACTCCTGTAAATAAATTTATTTTCAGCAAATATAAAGATTAAAGCTTTGAATTCATTCTACATTTACCATACCCCATAATTTGGCTTCTTTGATATAGGTCTTGTTTGCAGTTCTGTGATCAAAGAAAAAGCCTGAGAATTTCTATTCTTACTGAAAGGAAAAAGTAACTAAATATATTGTACTAGGTCATTGGGGAATTCAGGATAATTCTTTATTCCTAGAATAAATATTTTTTTTTCCTTCTTGCACCATACAATTTATGTCCATTCCTCTAAATATGCTATCTTGTTGGCGTTTTTTTGATTGGAGGCTGACTAAATGAGGACTCCATAAGAATGCACACACGATGTCTAGCTATTGTCTGCTTCCTCACTTCTTCCAAGATTCATCCACTATGGCATCTGTATTAACTTATTATGTCTCCTATCTAAAGTAAAGTAGTAAAGATCTTCACTACTTATAGTGGATGAGAAAAACAAAAAGGAGACTTTCAAAACTGAAATTCTCTGCAGTCCTGCATCATATTTCATTCTCTGCACAGCTATAATAAGTCTGTAATTTATTTAATATTATTTACATAAAATCTTATGTTCTGGGTGCTTAGTTCCACTGGATGCAGAGTTATAAAGCAAAAATATTTGTGTCCAAATATTTTCTTAATTTGTTGCCTATTCCTACTGGAATGTTGCTGGTTATCAGATTTCTAGATTCTTTCTCTCTCTTTTTTTTTAAACATAGGGACTATTTAGAAATAGTGTCCGTCTGTAAAATAGTGCACTGATACGCCCTCCTCCTAGCATTTCTCCTCCTTTATGGTAGAATAACTATTATTGTCCACTGAATTCTCCATCTGTGATAAAATAGCTATACCAGTAGGTTCTCTTTTTTCCATTTTGTAAATAGAGATACTTTTACAGCAGCTGATCTTAATCAAACCCCTGGAATGAGGAAAGCACCCAAAGACTGACCAGTGTGAGGTAATGTGAGCTGGGCAAGATTATCTTTGGCTGCCTTTGCCAACGTGTGTTTGACTGGAAGAGAGCTGATCTTGAGATTATGTGCTTTTTGATATCTTACATATTATAATAAATTGCCTTGAAGTATTGGATGGATTTCTACTTCTACCCAGCACCCTCCATAAACACCATCACCAATAAATACCAGACAATGGGCTGCCAGTTTAATATGACTCCATAACAAAGGAGGCAATTTTCTCCTCCACTTTTGAAAGATCAGATAGGTGTGTCTTGATACCATTTACCACTTGCCTTGAAAATTCTGATAGGTGTCAACTACATATTTAAGGAACAAAGAGAAAAGAGTTAAACTGGGTGGAGCTTAGATGAAATTAAAAACCTTTTATTCTCTGCAATTTGAGGTGATTATTATTTCAAATAAAGACAAGATTTGGAATTTACTCTGCCTGTTCCTCCTCTGTCTTTCAGGCCCAGAACCAAGAGCTGGAGGAATTGAATAAGGAACTCAGGCAATGTAATTTACAACAATTCATCCTGCAGACAGGAGCCATGGTGACTACTCCACAGACCATATCAGAGGCAGAATCGCAGCTGGATCAAATTAGCCAAGAGTTGCCAACTCACCACAGAAATGGAGGTCAGAATATAACTCAATCGGCAGGAAAGAGGAAGGAGAATTGTTTTAAGGCTTCCCCAGTCTGGTACCCCTTCAGAGGTGCTTTATAGATTATACAGGTAGTGGCCATGTCGCTAGGCATTATGAGAAGCATTAGCCAACATATTTAGAAGGCACTAGGATGTGAGAAAAAAGAGTATTATCATTAGTATTTCCATCAAACCATTTTTGATAGCTGTAAATAGAATCCATAGAAATGATAGTTAAATAGTGGAGTGAGAGTGACTTCTGTTCAAACCTCAGTTGAAAGAATCTTTCAGAGAAGCAAATAGCAAAAACAAACCCTTTTCTGTATAAAAATACAGGATATACCAGTTTAGCATATACATTTCATTAAACATTCAAATTGGCTGCTATTTTGTTCTAAATACTTCCTTACTTGTTCAATGCATGATCATTGAAAATTCCTAAGTACAGCAACATTTTCTTTGCAGATTTTTTTAATCAATAAAACATATTGTGATTGTTCTATGGGCTTGGTTTTTGGTACACCTGTATGTATGGAGCATGTGAAAGAACAATTAATTGACCATCTTCTTAAATTCTGGATAGATGTGGAGGCTCAGTTCTATTGAGTATTTAGTGCATTATTGACTGGACTAAAACTGCAGAAGAATGAAACAGGATAGAGCACAGTGGAGGTTCTGAGTTAAACATAACTATTCAAGAAGGAGAGATTCAACCCTAGTTATCTTACATCCAACCTAGTCCATTTTCAGATGTCTTTTGCTTTTGGGGGAATAGGCATGATAGGCATTCACAACTATTTATACAGATTTTAATTTTTCTATGCAGCAGTCATTAGCAGGCAGACATAAGTGGAAGATTGTAGTCTTGGTAGTGGTATTTGAAATATGTATTCATTCTTCTACACTTTTTTATTTTTCAGATTGGTCTCAGCAGGTGTCAGAACTTGACTAGTGCTATTTATGTGGGCTTGGAACTTAAGCAGGGCTAAATGTACTTAGTTCTTAAATAGGAGACCATCAGGAATTCCCGGGCTGCAGTTTAGACTAGGAACATCTGAAAAATCTATACTTTGCCTTCCAAGAAAACTGCAGAGATCTGTGGTTGACTTGAATTTATAGTAAATATTATGGAGATTTGGTCTGTGTTAACTTCCCATCTTTGCTTTAGAAGAAACAATGAAGAATATTACGATAATGACCCTGATGTGTAGCCTTCAAAAATCTGTTTAAATAAACAATTGCTATAGAAACAATATGCCTTTTTGGTAAAGTGTAGCATTTGACTAGCTATCACTTAACCTGAGTTAAGTTTCCCAAAAAATTGATATTGCCTGTCTGAGCTCAAAGCTGTTGTGAAACCTGCTGATCCCTGACACTATCTTGGCATGACCCATCATGTGCAAACGATATTGTGAATTTTATTTGCCTTCTAATTATTAGGCTTCAAATTCAGGCTCAGAAGTAAATTACAAGTAGTCCTCGTCTTCTTGACCACAACTGAGCCCAAAATTTCTGTTGTTTTATTCAACAAAATTTGTTGTTGTTTTTTTTAAATTTTATTCAAATACAAATAATACAAACATAATACATATAAGTCTAAATAAAAAACAGTACTAAAAATACAAATATTATAGTGCACCCAGCCCCCTATATTTCTTCTCGTATAACAACTAACAATATACAATATATTTCTATTGTGCCCTTATCCCCTCCAAAACAGCATATATTCTTGAGTAGGTTTATTCCCTTTGTCTTCCCCAAGACGGTTTTTATAAAATCCTCCCATATTTCATTATAATAATTTAATTTAATCATCCCTTTTTAAAATTTAATTTCTGTTGCTAATTGATCATTTATTGCCATGTTCCATATTTCCTTATACCACTCATTTCTTTGAATATCCCAATTCTGTCTCCAATATTTAACCATCATTAATCTAGCTGCCATTATCAAATTTACAATTTCTGTTGTTAAAGAAGGCGGCTGTTAAGTGAGCTTTTCCTCATTTTATGACCTTTTTTTGCCACAGGTATTAAGTGAATCACTGCAGTTCTTAAGTGAATCATATGGTTGCTAAGTGAATCTGGCTTCCCCCCATTGACATTGCTTGTCGGAAGCCTGCTGGGAAAGTTACCAATGGTGATCGTTTGACCCGGGACAGTGCAACAGTCAGAAAAGCATGTCAGTTGCCAAGTGCCCAAATTTTGATCACATGACCCATGTGGATGCTGCATCATCATAAGTGTGTGTGAAAATGGTCATAAGTTACTTTTTTCAGTGTCATTGTAGCTGCAAATGGTCACTAAACAAATGGTTGTAAGTCGAAGACTACCTGTATAGGTTTCCAGATGCTTTTCATTCAGCTCTTGACAAGACTTTTCAATACAATTCAGCTAATTTACAAACCTAATTGTAGATAAGAATGAATCCTCGGACGTGATTGCCCAGCATAGCAAAGCAAATCAGAGTCCCTCCAAAGCCTCCTGGCCTTCCAAATTTACCGATACTTTGATGGTCTTGGGTGGAAGCAGCTGAGATAAGCTGAAATATATTAAATATTTTGATTGGTGGGATCCAGGGAAAGAGCCCTTTCTACTGTTACCTTTGCCCTTTGGAACATTTGCCCCCAGAGAGGATTCTGGTCTCCACTCTTCTGGCCTTCTGAAAGAGGGTTAAGACCTGGCTCTACTGATCCGGCTTGGGGTGTGTGTGTGTGTGTCTGTGTGTCTAAGAATAATAGGCAATCCTGGGGAAGTTGGTGGCTTGAGGCTGCTCCCTCGGCCTCTCTTAACTTTTTAACTTAATTTTGTTCTTCATTTTGTTTTAGCTCTGTTTTTATTTCTGCTTTTTATAATTACAGTATGTTTTTTTATTACAGGTAGTCCTCGACTTACGACACGATTGAGCCCAAACTTTCTGTGGTTAAGTGAGAATTTGTTAAGTGATGTTTGCCCCTTTTTATGACCTCTCTTGCCACAGTTGTTAAGTGAATGACTTCACTTGCTAAGTTAGTAACACAGTTGTAAAGTGTCTCTCACTTCCCCATTGACCTTCCTGTTAAGGTCACAAAAGGTGATCACATGACCTTGGAACACTGCAACTGTCATAAATGTGAGTCGGTTGCCAAGCGTCCAAATTTTGATCATGTGACTAGGGGGCTACTGCAGTGGTCGTAAGTGTGAAAAATGGTCATAAGTCACTTTTTTAGTGGCATTTATAACTTTGAATGCTCACTAAATGAACTGTTGTAAGTTGAGGACTATCTGTATAAACTACCCAGAGTCACTTAGATGTAATGGGCGATGTAGAAATGTGCTAAACAAATACATGTTTACATAACACAAGTTTCTAGCCTGGGAATTATTGGTTCCCACTTCAACTCTTTTGCCTTGAGCTCTCCTACCATTACAGTTGATCCAGCTCAAAGGTTTGGATCCTCCCTTTCTTTCTCAGAAGAGCGAAGGAAAACAAAATTGGCATTTTTAATATTCACTAATGCTGACTTACGAATAAATGAATGGATTTATGAGCTAGGTCACAACTCTGCCACCATTAGTCAACGCTGCACCCAGCCAATAAAAAAAGCACCATGGATAAAAATGGGTATCTCTGAATGTGGATTGTGAGTGGAAGTACAGAAAGACAGTAAAATAGTTGGTGTGTGTACATTGAAATGTGAGCCTTGAAAATCAAAGCTGTTCTGATCAAGGAAATGCACCTTTGGATCAAGGAAGCTATATTAAACTATCATTTTCCTTAGATTTGTCAGAACTCGGCAGAGACTCACCTCCCAGAACTACAGCCAAGCATTTCCTCGGCAATCCACGCAACCTGCAGAATCCCCTGGTGTCCAGCTTGAACCCCGAGGGTGTGTATGTTTGAAGGGGCCTAAGTTTCTTTTGTGCCTGGTCTTGTCAAGCAGGTCTCCAGATATAATGTTCTTACTTTGGTGGGGGTAGCTTCCAGCTACAAGAAATTACAAATGCATTAGCTCCTCCTATTTCCTCTTTAGAGCTTGAATGGCTTGTCTTTCCATGGTTATCAAAGCCAGCAAGCACACCTGGCAAATGGTGGGGGGGTGGGAAGTACAGGAGTAAGTAGAGTTTCAAAAATGGCTTCTGGTGTTTAAATTGACAGGCAGGGACTGAAGACTTGATACAGTCTATCTCACGGGCATGCCTGTGAGATTACTGGGAGAGTGGCAGATGTTTACTAATAACATTCTGCTTATTGTTATTCAAACTGCATCATGTTTGAAGCAATTGCTAGAGCAGTTGCCAGTTTAGTTTTGTTCGTTCAGTTGATTTGGGGGTGGGATTGTACGATCACTAGTTCAGGATATTTTACAACTTCACTAGCAAGGTCATTGCCCTACATGCACTTATTCTTCATCTGGATCTTTCTACCAAGTTCTCCTTCAATGTGTCAGATTTGGTTTATGTATTTGCACTTATAAAAATGGAGTCAAAAGACAGTTTGTGTATTTTTTGTTTTAAAGTATTGGCTATGTTTTGTTAGATGTATTATAGTCTTCCCTTCTTATTCCACTTCAGTAGGTTTTTTTGAGAAGTACGTTAATATCATGGATTAAGAACATGAGTACTGATTTTTTTTCAAAGTACACCAGAGTAGTACAGGTGATCCTCGACTTAACAGCCACAGCTGAGCCAAAATTTATGTTAAGTGAGACATTGTTAAGTGAATTTTGCTCCATTTTATGATCTTACTTGCTATAGTTGTTTAATCACTGCAGTTGTTAAGTTAGTAACATGGTTGCTAAGTGAATCTGGCTTCCCCATTGACTTCGCTTGTCAGAAAGTCACAAAAGGTGATCACATGACTCTGGTACACTGCAACCATCATAAATATGAGCCAGTTGTCAAGCATCCAACTTTCGATCACGTGACCATGGGGATGCAGCCATGGTTGTATAAAAAACAGTCATAAGTCAGTTTTTTTCAGTGTCATTGTAAATTTAAAGGGTCATTAAACCATTGTAAGTCAAGGACTACTGGTTTTTGAGGTGCCATGTTTTTTTAAGGTAATGAAAGAATAGAAAATGAAGGGATTTAATTCAGAGTCCTTAAAAACAGTTTAAACATCAGAGGAACTATATTCCACTGATTTTAAAAATGCTATTTGTACTTGGAAGGAAATTTACCTTAATTATAAACAGTCTGGTTCATAATGAATAATAGTTCCAATTGAAAAAGGTGACTTCTTCTCAGAAAAACCTCATACTCCATGACCTTGAGTTAGATAAACTCAGAGCATGGTTCAGGCTTAGGCTCAAACTCCAGATTTTAATCTTGGAAAGCCTAATTGGTTTTAATTGGTGAAATTGTCTCTGATGCTTTGAGAATATATTACTATAAACAGATACTGTACTGTTTATTTCTCCTGTGCAAGTCCCTTTCATTTAAATCTGCAATAATTATTCTGCTATCATATTCTTAATCCCAGCAGCCTTCATTAGAATGCTTTGAGTATATTCCTGAACCATGATCCTAGAAAGAAGAGGTTAAAAAAGCCAGATCCTCCGTATTTCTCTCTTTCTTTTCATTCTGCTTTGTTAAATCGAATTAGTTTCCTCAAACTGTTTTTCCTTTGCTGGAGGAGGTTGAATTTCGAGGTTACTTTTAAGTCCAGGAGTCCATAATAATGAAATCCCAATTTTGGCTCGCAGTAAATCGAAAGTATTATGTTTGCTAAAGAAGAGTTACATTCTGCCTATCAGATTATTTAAAATATGTAGCGCCTTCCAAGTCTGGACTTTATTTCTGAAGAAGCCATCGTAAAGACTATCACTATTTTTCATTAAATCTGCAGTTGCATGGAATAACATATTTAACTCCACACTTTATTGTCCTTTTGTTTCTCAAACGTTAAGCTTTAATAATGGGACCGCTTCATTTATTTTTATGTGTCTTGCAGTCGTATCAGCAAAGCAGAGCATCTGGAGGTAAAAAGGCCAGCCAAGGAAGACTGATAGTTTTGCGAATATAACAGATGCACAGATAAAAACTCTTATTACCTATGTATATTTGCCTTCTTAGATGGATGTAGATGGTTGTGCAGAATATTTTTACAGGCTTTTTTTTTTTAAGTAAAAAAGATCCTTGGAGGAAGCAGACTGCTTGTTTTTTGTTTTTGTTTTTTTAAATGTGCCTGTTATAATTTCAAATGAAAAAACTGGAACAGCTTTGTTGAAAATGTATATTCTATGACAATGCTTTGGACTGAATAGCAATTGCCCTGGAGGGTTATAAACTGTGCTGGAGAAGTGTTCAAAGCAGAGAACATCTCTTAGGTCCATTTAACTGCCCAACAAAGGAGGTGTGTATTACCAACCGGATTTCTTTACTGAACTCTATCAATGCACTGGAGCATTTCTTATTGTTTGTTGGATGATGATTTTTTTGTTGAATAATGATTATATTTTGTAAATTAAGAGGTTGGTTGTTGTTTTTTTAAACTTGATGAGAGAGAAATTATCTCATTCCTGATAAGAATATAAAAACCAGAAATACTGCTCTGGGACAGAGGTTTTTTGACCATCCACAGATGTCTTTTATGGTGTGGTTGATCCTGAGTCAGCCTTTTATAAAAAAAAAAATCCTTCAGCTCTAATAAAAGATGGGATCAAGGTGCTAGTCCTGTCTTGCCATTTGTGTCTCATGCCAAGTATTTTGTCATCCAGTGTTGTACAATGTAATTTTGCATATAAATTGCTCCAGCATAGAAATGTATATTCTCTACTCACACAATAATTCTGGACTATTCTAAAACCCAAGATGTAAAAATAAAATTTTCCAAGCGAACGAATTCTTGATACTTTCATACAGTGGAAAATGGATGTGTTCCAGTGGAAGCCAGCCATAAGAAGGACTGTCTTCTACTTTAGAGCAAGTGGTTCTTGGATTTGTCTGTGGGTCTTTCTTCTTTTCAGAGCAGCTTCTGGTGGCTTAATTGCATATTCTGAGTTGCACAAGAGAATGGCCAATGCAGAGGTGGTGCAGCAAACTGCAATACATTATGGTCTCCACAGGGGATAAGCAATTTGGAACTTTTCAGATATTTTGGACTATAAGTCTCATCAACTGCTACCATGACAAATAATAGGGAATGGATGGGAATTGCAGTCCATCCTGAAATGTGAAGCTTGTCTATCCCCGATCAGTCTTTTGGCAAAAGCCCGAATAGCATTTGAAAGGTGTTTCTTGTTAATAAGATACTTGCTTTGATTTAAGGATAGAGAACCAATATTGCTACTCTGTTCCTCCGACTAGCCGCAGCTCATTTGGTCTCATAGTAGACTTAATTCACTATGTATTGGAACCTGATTTGAGGATTTCGAGGACACGAGGAAGAAGAAATCTGAAAGCAGCAACAAAAGAAAGGAAAATATATCCTTCCCTTCTCATTCCCAGCAGCACCTTAGCTTTATAATAATACAATTTGTGCTACTGTTGAACATAGTGTAAGGAAAGGACAGAGGCCACGTGCATGTCTGGAGAAATCTTTGAGATGGCCACTGCCCAAAATTATATATGTTCTCCTCTAATTATTACTTTCTGGCTGCTTTCAATAGCTTCTTCCTTTGTTGGTTGTTTTTGACCATTCTCAGAATAGACTGAGAAGCTATATGAATACTGATGTGGATATGTTGAACTTTGATTAATCTGTTGAACAGCTAAAGTGATCTTTAGTGGAACACTAAATGAGCCACATTATTCTCCAGATATACCACCCAGTACCAGTACAACCTTTTTGAGGTAGTTGAGGTAGAAAAATATTTTTTTAAAAACCGTAGTAAAGATTGGGTCCCAGGACACAATATTTTTTCAGAAGTGCTCTTCCCAGGTAGGCTAAAAATCTGGACTTCAGTTTTGGACAGAGAATGAAATCATTCTCTTTTTTCTGAACTTGTGTACCATTTAAAAACCTAGCATTTCTAAAATACTTTCTATAAACTGTGTCCTTCAGTAAAAATGAGCCGATTTTTTTTCAAGTTAAAATATTTTCAAGTGTTTGTTTTTTTTAAAAGAAAAAACCTTCTGGACTTTCTTTTTCTTTTAAGTGCTTATATTTTTAAAGGCAAGTGGTGGTTACCACTTTTAAATGAAGCCTGGAACACGGATTAGAATGGGAAAAAATGACATTATTGCACTTAACTCAGTAATTAGCATTTTACTACCATCTTAACTTGCAAACTCAGTTTACTTCTAAATACTAAACAGCATTATGACAGCAGCATAGGGGAATTGCATTAATGGAACCAAATAAAAAACCCTGACATTTTATTGAGCCGTGCTCTGTGTAACCTAGTCATGTCTCACTTATCGTAGACCAGGGGTGTCAAACTCGCAATGTCACGTGACGTGTCGCAACGTATCACAACTTTTTTTCCATTGCTGGCAATGGGGTGGGTGGGGTTTTGGCATGACGCATCCGGCCCACGGGCCGACAGTTTGACACCCCTGCCGTAGACAAAGGTAACTCCATTTTTGAAATGAGCAGCAGAGACTCTTAATAACTGCAGATTACTGAACTATGAAAGTAATTCCTGATAACATTTCTTGCCAATCTCTCTATTTGGCCAGTACATTTGGGAGAGTTTGTATGCATTTAGTTGCTCACGGCTGATGTATGACCAAGAAAAGCAAATGTATGCATGAAAGCCTGAGGGACTGTCTGGGGGACCACAAATAGCCTTGGAATCCCCGAACTTATTTTTTAATGTTTGATATATAACATGTATATGAAATACAATTGCCTACTTAAAAAGTGGGGCGAGGGGGTTCCATGTAAGAATGTATATATCCCATGAACTAATGATATTTTCTGGATTGAGACTGTAATAAAACATTGGAAAGTTTTCATAAAGGGGTCTCTTGTAATTTGTAGTAAAGATTGCAAAGAACACAACTACCGTCCTCTGCTGTACATTTGCTGCAACGGAAAGTTTTCTACATTTTGTACTTGCACATGGTGGTTCTAGAGAGATTCTCTCTAGTCATACAAGCAGCTGTAGGTCTGGGATATTTCCCAATAAGAATCTCATTTTAGATAAGAGATGTCGTTCCAAACTGCATAAGGCCAAATTAGGGATTGCAATGAACTTGCAGAACTGACATTTGTAGCATTGCCTGTTTCAGATAACACATTTGATGTATGTAATACAGGTAGTCCTCGACAACGACCACAACTGAATCCAAAATTTCTGTTCTTAAGGGAGGTGTTTGTTAAGGAAATTTTGCCCCATTTTATGACCTTTCCTTCCACAGTTGTTAAGTGAATCACCGCAGTTAAGTTAGTAACACACCTGTAGTGAATCTGACTTCCCCATCGATTTTGCTTGCCAAAAGGTTGCAAAAGGTGATCACATCACCTTGGGACACAGCAACAGTCCTAGGTATGAACCAGTTGCCAAGAATCTGAATTTTGATCACATGGTCATGGGGATGCTACAGAAGATGAAAAATGGTCATAAGTCACTTTTTTCCCAGTGCTGTGGTAACTTTGAACGCTCACTAAATGAACTGTTGTAAGTCGAGGACTTCCTGTACTCACTGCATTCAAGCAGCGGCAATAAGCCTTAAGCGTGCACCAATTTTATTTTGCTCTTCAACGTTTTTTTAAAACCCTTTCAGCTCTCAAGGGTGCACAAAGCTAGCAGTCTTAGCCAAAGTATTCTGGTGGTTACCTACAGTTTGCATACACCGTTCAGCCAATCTTTTAGGAAGATGGGATTAAGAAGACGAGCAGTTGTCTGTGTGCATGTTGTGGGGAATGGCTCTCCTCTCCACTTTTAAAAAGGGATATATTGGAGCTGCATTTAAAAACTTGGGAAGTGATGCAAGGTCCAATCATCTGGATTAGATTACAGCATAAGAAATAATCATAGATTTCAGCATAAGCCAAACACATGTCCCTTTATAAGGGAAGTCAGCAAAATTTGCAAGTTATAAGAAAAATTTCAAAGATATATAATTAAATGGCCAAATTTATGTGACAGTTTGGCTAAATCTTAAAAAATTGCCAGTGGGTGCCATCTAGTGGTATTAGATACTACAGTATAAGGTCTCTCTCCCTCTCCCTCTCTGTCTCCCTCCTCCCTCCCTCTTCAACCACCCACACAGCCTCACACTGACACACACACAGAGTAATATTTATCTGCTTTTATCCAGTAGTATCATAAAGAGATCTTTTGAATTTTAAAATGGAGCAGATGTATTCCTGACAAAGATTACTTTCAGGTATGCTGGAAACGGTTGTGACTGTTCAGCGTGAGGGCATGCAGCCTGCACACTCTCAGAGGCACTCTTGCTTCTTGAGTTCCTGGCTGAATCTCCCTTTTGAGGAACTCTGTCAGATCCATGTGATTTCCAATGGGAAAACCAAATGAGAAAGGCAAGTTGCACTTACTTTATAATGTTAAGAGAGACTGAGGACTTTCTGGAATCATATGGCGTCCGTCTAGTGAAACAGACTGTTTTTCATTGTATTTCCACTAAACAGTTGTACAGTCCGGTGACAGTAGCCATCTCTTCTTTGTGGAGCACATTACGTGCCTTTTTTCACAAGCAAAGTTAATCATCTCTGCAGGCTCCTTTCAAAAATAATCTAATCATGTCTGCCTGTTTCTGCAAAAAGATCAATCACCCTTTGTAGAATGAAGCAAGTTTTTATCCTCTCTTACCATGCCTGCCAGCCAGCATTAGAAACTAGACCTGGGACAAATAATCCAGGGTTCATGAGTAATAAAACTCACACATTGCTAGAGCAATTAAACCACACCGGTCACTTCCAGCTAACCAATAAATATCCTCTGCATTTGTAAATACGGAAGTAAATGCAATCCCAGTTTGAGTTAATGGCACTTGTTCCTAGCCTTTAAAAAGTGCATAAAAAGACATACTGGGGGGAAATTATGGATCTTTATGATGCTTAACAGGACCTGAAAACAAAATGTTAGCATTTTCTTAAAACCACCACAGGAGTATTATGGACACAACATTTGCCATAGTAGGGCTGTCCAGTCACAAAATTCTTCTATCTTGGAAGGGAAAATATTAGACTACAGCAGTGTCAAACTGCCGGCCCATGGGCCAGATGGGTCACGCCAAAACCACGCCCACCCCATTGCCGGCAATGGAAAAAAAGTCACGATACGTTGCGACACGTCACGTGATGTCGACACCCCTGGATTACAGCCTGTTTTTGGAGTCTAGATGAGTCTCAAAGGCATTGAAGAAAGTTATTTTACTGATTAGAGAGTCTAACAATCAGCAGATAAAACACAGTACAGAGTGATTAATACTATTGGTAAAAATAAAAGATACTGAGAGCTCACTAGCCACCAATGCTCTTCAGAAGAGCCCCCAGAGGGTTTGTAACACGGGGCAAACCTTAATTCTAAAGGGAGTCTATTCCACAAATCCACAATGATGATGAAGCAGGAGCCTTGCCTGGCCTTGGCTTTCCTCCCTTCCTGGAGTGGGATACAACAAGCAAGAGTTTCTGCTGAGGTGAACATATTGGATGTTTCCAGAAGGTCTGTTAACTGCATCAGATGAGGTTGATGAAGGACTGGCTGCTTACAGCCTCTGTGTGTCCATTTAGCAATAGTTATGAATCCAGCTTGGTACTTTGCTTTGCAACATGCTAATTCCCATTTCGTTTTTAAAAAAATCTAAAACATCTGAAAGATAGAGAATGTGAAGACACTTCATCAAAAAAAACCCAAAATGTGAAAGAAATTGAAGAAGAGCAAGAGTGTTTATTTAATAGTAGATCATTACAACAGGAGACTTACTGACTTGCGTATTTTTAGGAGCTGTTTTAGCAAACCTTGCTTTATTTTTTATTAACTTCCCACACAAAATTTGCAACAAGCACATTCCACTCAAACCTGAAACAGTGGAGCTGCATGTATCATCTGGATTTCTGCCAACAAGGAAGCTCTTATCATTGCATGTTGCTTGAGCAAGCAAACAAAAGCGCTCATCCGGACTGCCCCTTACACAGCATGATCAGTGATTCAGCCGGTACTTACCAGTTCATTGTGTGGGATGGGGGTAAACTGGATTATTAGTTTATAGCTCAGTAAGTTCATTATTAATCAACAGATAGACCAACTCCCTTATGAGAAAAGAGAATACTCAGACTTTTCAGCTTTGCACTGAGGACAAATAAAGAGATGCACAAAATTAAAAATAGTTTGGCAAGTGAGTAAATCTTTCTCTAGCACTGCTTCCAGGCAAACTTTTACTGAATAAGGCTTATTCACTTTTTTAAAAAAGGGAGGGAAGGGGGAATATAGAAAATATTACAGGTAGTTCTTGACTTACAACCACAATTGATCCAAAATTTCCGTTGCTAAGCAAGACAGTTTTGAGTTTTGCCCCATTTTACGAGCTTTCTTGCCACAATTGCTAAGTGAATCACTGTTAATTGTTAAGTTAGTAAACGGTTGTAAAGTGAATCTGGCTTCCCCATTGACTTTACTTGTCAAAAGGTTGCAAAAGGTGATCACACGAACCCAGGACACTGCAACCATCATAAATCTGAACCAGCTGCCAAGCATCTGGATTTTGAACATGTGAACATGGAGCTGCTGCAACAGTCATAAGTGAAAACAGTCATAAGTCATTTTTTTTCAGTGCTGTTGCGAACAGTCCCCAAATAAATGGTTGTAAATCAAGGACTACCTATATCATTTGCCCCCAGGGTCACTGGAATTACTGAATTATTTTACCATGTTAAGAGGTAATCCTTGGGGTCCTCCACTAATACCAGACATAGTGTGCCACAACATTAGGAAATCTGTTGGTGCATGTGGGTGTATTTGCACTGTCAGCCACACTTCCACAAAATTGCTGTCATGAGGTGGAACCACTAAGAAAACAGGGTGAGGCCAGCGAAAACCTAATTGAATCTCAATGTAATTTCTTTAATTGCGCCAAACAGGTAAAAAATAAAGATGTGTCTTTTTAACATAATTGCTGATTTTCCCATCTAACTCTAATGTTAGAAGGGCATCTTCTGC